CGGATCATCAGATAGCACTTCCAAAAATAAAATGAAAGGAAAAATGAAATTAAAATTGAAGTTTACACTACCCATCAAATAACCCCCAGTTTTAATTGAAAGCTAAAGGATTAAATTTTCTAATTCCAGAAAAAAATACTCTGGAGTATTTCAAATAGAAATTTGAATGATTTTTAGTCGATACTTCCGAAAAACCAATCGAAATAAATTCTTTAATAAAATATATAGAATATTCGGGCCAGTAGACGAAAATGAATATGCTGTTTAATAAATAAACGAAGCGGCTACTCCGATGTGAAGATCCACTAAAAATAACGTTTAAGTAATAAAATCTGTCGAAATAATAAGTAAACAATCCATTGCTTCTTTAGAAATCAATGTAAGTATATGCTGAAAGAAAAAAAAACTTCATTTGGTTAATTATCAATTCTATTGGCAAAATATTGATATGCCTAATAAAATGCGACAATAACTATGGATAAATATCGCATTATATTAATGGTTATGTTAGTTAATTCAGCCTTGAAGTTACACCTGACCTCAAGGGTCATCATCTGATAAAAGCTTTGTCAGAGGCAATGCTCCTATTTTGTAGCCGGCTACATGAAATTATTTGGAATATATATAAATCCATATATATATATATATATATATATATATATATATATATATATATATATATATATAAATTAATTGATTTAAAATATGTTTTTTCCGCTACACAGTTCTAACCATGTTTCAAAAATACTGTTCTTTCTTTTTATATATATATACATATATATGTATATATATATATATATATATATATAGTTGGAGCCAGGGTAAAGAGGCATGATAGTGGAAAGGATGAAAAGAAGGATGGGAATAGATCAAGACATCTGGAGATGTTGATTGTTATTGCATTTGTATAGTTGAAGATTATAGCTATCAGGGAAGCAAGCAAGACGAAGGGAATTCCACAGATGGGAAGTGCGTGACATGAAGCTATTGAAGTAGAAGAGACGGCTACATTTAACCGTTTTGACAGTGAAAGGGTGGGACCGAAATGCCAACCCAGTAGTACGTTTAAATTCATGCAGTTTGGAAACCAGCGAAAGTAGGTCGTCGGAGTAGTTACCGTGAAAGTATTTGTAGAAAAGACAGAGGGAGGCGACGACACGCCTGTGAAAGAGAGTGACTGTAAACGAGATGCCAGATCAGGACCGATCACATTGCATATCCGTCTCTGGATTTTGTCGAGGACATTAAGACCAACAGCTGGGGCTCCAGACCATATATGGCAGTAGTATTCCATGCAAGGGCGAAGGGTTGATTTATAGATTTTAAGGATGGACTCGGTCGAGGAAAACTTTCTCGCACGACAGAAAACCAAATTTTCTTACGTTAGAGGAAGCTATTGATTCAATGTAATTGTTCCATCTCAGGTCAGCGGACAATGTGAGTCCAAGCAGTCGCAGAGAGATGCTCTCGTAGAGATGAGAATCGGATAGTCTAATGGGAGGCAGAGCGGGTTCGTTCTCTGTGGTGGCTAAAAGAGATCAGTTTTGTTTTTGACGCGTTAAACTTAACCAGCCATTTCTTGTCCCAGACCCTTATAAAAATGTTTATATTGAATTAATGATTTCCTTTTGAGGAAAATATTGAATCAGCTGCCGAAAAAGTGTATATTTTTCTTTAATAAGATTTATTGAATACTAGCAGTAGAGCCCAGCGTTGCCCGGGGATATAACAGTAAGCGATAGATCAAGTATCCACCATCATAAAGACTGAAAAATAAAATTGACAAAGATTATTTTTTAAGATTGACGGACACGCATGTCTTAATTAGTTTTTTTTACAAAAACATTGTTTTCAATTGTTATGTGTCTCTACCGATTGAATAGAATTTTATTATAAACAATTGTCTTGTAAATGGAATTTTTAAAGCATTCTGAATATTAAAAATAAAGAAAAATGTAGGAAATCCGATCCCATATATAAAGGAACACACACACACACAAACAACCCGATGTGAGTTGTCCCCCTTTCATTCTCACGATATCTCTTAATCGTGTTTTCAAATTGATTTTGTGCAAAAACAATTGTATTTTTTCCATTTTTGGCGCTGTCAAAACCACCGCAAGGTAATTTTATGTAGTCCTGTGAAGTTTTGTTGAAATCGGTTGAAAAATGTAGGAAATCCCATCCAATATATAAACGTTACAAACACACACACACACACACACACACACAATCTGCGTTTTATAATAAGTAAGATTCAGGCCAGTAGACTGTTTAATAAATAAATGGAGCATCTGCTCAAATATAGATATCCACTAAAAATAACGTTTAAGTAATAAAATCTGTCAGATTAATAAAAAAAAAATCCATTACTTCCTTAGAAATAAATGTAAGTATATACTGAAAGAAAAAAAAATTAGTAGTTTAAATATCAATTCCATTGGGAAAACATTGACATGCATAATAAAATGTGACAATATCTATATACGAATAAATATTGCATTTTATATATGTGAATAATATAAAAATGTTTATATTGAATTAATGATTTGTTTTCAGGAAAATATTAGAATAGGCTCAGGAGTAAAATATGATGATCTGTAAGAAGAATGTACAGGATATGGCTGGATAATGAATATATTTCCTATTGAAGTGTGATGTCAAGCTTTTATCACAAACCTGGCTTCAACATACCTAACTATGCTTCAGTTGTCTACAAAAGAAAAGTGAATATATATATAAAGTAGTTTCAATAATGGGTGGATTTTAGATTTAGATTATTTTACCGGCACGTCAAACCCACAGATTATTTCACATTGAATCTGATAGTTTTAAGATTTGGTTTTATTTTGTGTCTATTTTGCAGACAATTTCTTTTATAAGTCATCAATAATGGGTGGAAGCTGTAACTGGTGTAGGGAAAAAAAACCAATAATGTCTGGTAATATTGCAATTGGTTAGGTTAGTTATTTCAGCCTTGAAGTTACACCTGACCTCAGGGGTCATCATCTAATAAAAGCTTTGTCAGAGGCAATGCTCCTATTTTTGTAGCCGGCTACATGAAATTATTTGGTTATTCAACAATAGACTATCTGCAAACAATAGACCAACTGATAAAAGCAACTGGAATCTAATAAACTGTTTTGTTTGGCTTTAGTTTACTATGAAAAGGCCTTTGATTCAGTAGAATACTTGACAGTCATTAACTCCCTGACAAAGTAAGGGGGGGTCAATGAAAACCATATTAAAATTGTAGAGAGTATATTAGATTTATTTACATTATTCGGACTATTGCCTCATCTTAGTCACCATATTTATTACAACGATTCGGCTGTTGTAGGCTCCGGCCTTCTTCAGTTAGTTGAAATGTAAAACTGAACCCTTTATTTCGCTCACTGGGGTAGAATGTTCTAGTTCCACGTGCCATGTTTAATGGATGCCAGTTATCAGTTATCTCCTGTTAATTTCCCTCTGAAAGTTCTGCACTGCCTTAACCAGGTATTGAACTCACACACTTTGGATCTTGTCACTGGATCTAACCAACGCCTTTATCCACTGTGCCATGTGTCCTTGAAAAAACCTGTGTATGAATTTCTGGGTTCAGTTCGACATTCCAACCCAAACCTGAAAAATGGCGACAAAGTACAACGGCAAATAAAAACATTGTAATAAATATCATTTCAGAAAAAGACAGAGGACGAAATAGTACGAATAATGTAAATATAATGTAATAGTGTACATACCTCATCTCAGAAATATAGACAGATACTGAAGGGCCGAAACGTTGTAATAAATATGGTGACAAAGATGAGGACAATAGTCCGAAATAATGTAAATAATGTACATAATACCTCATCTCAGAAATATAGACAGATACTGAAGGGCCGAAACGTTGTAATAAATATGGCGTCAAAGATGAGGACAATAGTGCGAATAATGTAAATAGTGTACATAATACGTCATCTTTGCTTCATAAATAATTTTATTCTTATTTCTTCTTTTTCTTCTGTAACATTTTTATTTCTTTTTGACTATTTTGCAAACAATTTCTTTTATGAATCAGCCATAATGGAGGGAAGCTGTATGTAGTTAGGGGAAAAAAACTCAATAATGTCTGCTAATATTACGAGTGGTAAAGTTACTTCCTTATTTGCCAGAAAGTGTATATTTTTCCTTAATAAGATTTCCCCAATATTCAGGCCAGTAGACGAAAATGTATGTACTGTTTAATAAGTAAACGCAGCCTCTTTTTCAAACACGGATATCCACTAAAAATAATGTTTAGGTGATAAAATCTATCGGATTGTTAAATAAAAAAAAAAAGTCCATTACTTCTTTAGAAATTGCTTTGTTTACGTTACGATACGAAACTGAAAAGACATGAATTTTTTGAGAGTCTGAGAAAGATTTGCGTTCATGAGGCGCTATTCAGATCAGCCTGAACCTGGGCACATTCTTGGACTGCGACAACCTGACGTACGTCGGTTCTAACAACAGTTTCTCCCGATACAGGAAACGCAGGTTCGAATCCTCCCGGAGGGTGTTTTTTTTTTTTTCTTTAATAAGATTTCACGAATATTCACCCCGCTGGACGAAAATAATTAAATAAACTGTTTAGTAAATGAACGACACGCCTACTGAAAGATGGGTATCAACTAAAAATAATGTTTAATTAATAAAATATATATATTTATTAAAGACATTTTTATGTTTAACGTTCTTTTTATAGATACAGGTATTTAAGTAAATGCTCTGTTTATAATAAACAGCATTAAATAACATTTACCGGCCTGAATGTCCGAGAAATTTTCATAGAAAATATTCGTCCTTTGACAGGATTCGAACCTGCATCCTATACAGAACCGTCATTTATGCTGACGTGCCTTAACCGACTCGGCCACAAAGGAGCGTTCGGTTGGCATGGTTGAATTTACTGCTTATTCACTTATAAACTTATGCAGGTTCGAATCGTTTTATGGTCGGAAAATATTAATACTTACACGATAGATAGATAGATAGATAGATAGATAGATAGATAGATAGATAGATAGATATTATAATGACTAAGATAGATAGATAGATAGATAGATAGATAGATAGATAGATAGATAGATAGATAGATAGATAGATTACGGAATGTGATCGATACCGAACAGAATGGCATAGATAGATAGATAGATAGATAGATAGATAGATAGATAGATAGATAGATAGATAGATAGATAGATAGATATGAACAGGCTCAGATAGATAGATATGAACATGCTGAGATAGATAGATAGATAGATAGATAGATAGATAGATAGATAGATATTATCAGGCTGAGATATTATAGAGGATGAGATAGATAGATAGATAGAGAGAGAGAGAGAGAGATAAATGCAGAACGAGATGGATATTATGGCAGATAGATATGCACAGATCTATCAGAGAAAGAAAAAAGAAAGAAAGAAAGAAAGAAAGAAGCGATAATCAGGATAGATAGATAGATAGATAGATAGATAGATAGATAGATAGATAGATAGATAGATAGATAGATATGAACAGGCTCAGATAGATAGATATGAACATGCTGAGATAGATAGATAGATAGATAGATAGATAGATAGATAGATATTATCAGGCTGAGATAGATAGATAGATAGATAGATAGATAGATAGATAGATAGATAGATAGAGAGAGAGAGAGAGAGAGAGAGAGATAAATGCAGAACGAGATGGATATTATGGCAGATAGATATGCACAGATCTATCAGAGAAAGAAAAAAGAAAGAAAGAAAGAAAGAAGCGATAGTCAGGATAGATAGATAGATAGATAAGATAGATAGATAGATAGATAGATAGATAGATAGATAGATAACGGACCCTCCGGTCGATTTTACGATGTATGAAGGCCTCTTTAAAACTAAACCACCAGACCACATACACAAATGATTTGGTTCTGGTGGCGAAGGACTGTGTCGAACTATCCACCCTTTTCTGAAAAACTTATAACAAAGGAATGGTTCACAGTGTCACACAGAGTCTATGAGATGCACAAGGATATTGTCACTTTGATCTTGGCTTCGACCTTATGACGTAGGTAGCGTGACACAGTAGCTATTTACAATATTTACCTTGTTCGTCCTTTGTCGCCATCTTTACTGTAACATTCACGACGTTTCCACCGTTGTACGTTCCGGAATTTTTCAGGTGATATTTAATTGGAATTTAAAACTTGGCCCTTTCTTTAGTCCACGGGGGTAGAATTGATCAATGGATTGATCCCGAAAGTGACTTGACCCAAAGAGTTGTCAGTTCAATCCCCGACTTTATTGGAGAAAAGAAAACCTTGGAGACTTCTCAAGGAGAATTAATTAAAACTGAGGTTGCAAAAGGTATGGTAAGTGGTATTAGAAATATTTACCCCGAATGATAGACTTATAAATATGTAAGATCTTCATTGTCATGTTCATGACGTTTAAGCTGCGGAGGGTTCTTGATTGGGCCCTCATCGCAACAGGCAGAGAGGAGTGGATGCGATAGGCAACAATAAACTACAGAAGACCTCAAAATTGATCGCTGCATTTAAGTATTGCCTTAATATTTAAACTTGCCTTTTAAAAGTTCAACGATATGTTTTTTCGGCGCTAATTAACTTAAAGACAATTTGATGCACGTAGGTCCTTATTGACGTACAAACAATTAATTGTCTTTCGCTGGATTTCGCAATTAATTTCAGTTATTCCTAAATTTATTTCAAAGTTACATAAATTGTTTTCGTATAAAAAATTCGTCGCAAAAAAAAAAAAACACTACGAAAAAAATATGATTAGGCAACTCATAAAGCTAATTGTTTCTCTTTTAAAAGTAGTTCACCATATAAAATAATGAGGTAACAATATTATCAATTTTATTATTAAGTAGCTTAAAAGCCGCCTATCGGGTGGCATTTAACTTAGCTCCTGCGGCGGGCTCTTGATTGGACCTTCATCAAAATTGCTAGGGAGAAGTAGATACGATAGGCAACAATAAACTACAGAAGAACACAAAATTGACCGCTGCATTTAAGTATCGCATTAATATTTAAGCTCACCTTTTAAAAGTTTGTTATGGTCCGGTTCCTTGTACCACGGTGATAGTCCAAAGTAGAACCAATAAAGAAGAACTCGAAAACGGATATGGAATAACACAGATATATTACAAACAGGAATATATACAGAGAGATAGAACGTGTTAGTACAAAATGAGGAAAGAGGGCTTGGAAAATCTGATAGACACAAGACAGAGTGAAGGCAAGAGGGAAAGAAGAAAACAACGCATTTGCTTAGTGAGCTTGAGTAAATGATGTTAAGAGCTACAAAGGACAAGAAATTGTTGAGAGCCATGATTGACGTCATGAAGTGTTAAGGCACATAGAAGAAGAGGAATATACACCTATCAGTTAAAGGCTTAATAGGTCGTGAGTACTACATGATTTGTAAAAAAAATATAGTCGATTTTAACTATGATTAGGCAACT